GACCAGCTTCTCCCATATCTTCCGTGCCTGGAGGAGGAGGAGGCCACCAGCAAAGGATCCTGGCGGTGTCTGGGGACCTCAGAGCAATGCTACAACCCTTGGGGGCCCAGGAGCTGTGATGCATTCGGTGTGAATCCTCCCCCACGCATGTAACGTGAGGCCCAGGAGGGTGCTTTGAGGTGGCCCTGGCTCTGGATGGGAGAAGGTTGAGGTGCTTTGTGAGGGTAGCATGCTTCAAACATTACATGCTGGCAGAACAATAACCTTGTAACACAGTAACCTGAGCCGTTTCCCCATGCCTGACATGATTAAAGGGGTTTTAGACATTTGGAAGGGTGGGACAATGTTCATAGGATGGTTACAAGAGAGCAGCACTCCCAGCCTGACTTAGCATGGAGCAAGGTAAATACTTCTAATACTGGCTGGAAGGGGTAGGCTGAAGTTTATCCTCCAGAGATGGGCATTCTCAACCTTTTGGCACAATTTAAACCCATCATCCTTGATTTTCTTATGTACGTTCCTTTATAGATGTCTCTTCTCATGGCTCTGGCTAGGGAAGGACATTTTGATGCTAAGGGAAGAGAGGACAGATTCTAGGGCCTAGCTAAGGAGCTCAGAGATTTTGGAAGTGTTGGACTGGTCCCTGAGTGAGTTTAAGCCAAGTTGGGCTTTCCTCCCATCAGAAATGATAATCTTTGAAACTTGCTCTACTCATGATTCGTCGCATTGCGATTCCAAGGCTGGTACAAATCATCCATATGATGCCTGCTTGCGCGGGAGGAGGAGAGGCTGTTGAGTACCCTGCACTTTCTCCTTCCTGAGCTCAKACAAGCTGTCTCAAATGGGGACTTTTTTATTTAGTTAGATAATTTCAGTCTTTCTTCCGGTTCTGACTTGGCAAAACCTCAGCGACTCCTCTGCTCTCCCCAGTTGTGATTTGCTGGAGAAAGGGAGCCTGGGATTCACTTTAGAAAATTACCAGTTGTGGGAGAGTGCAAGTTTAATGAGTGTTTGCAATGATGCTAACTTTTCACGTTGCAAAGATGGTTTGAGTAACAAAGGAACTTGTGTCTTTTATCATATGCAGACCTTTTAATGTTGCTTGACAAACCAAATGAAATAGCCCACTGAAGGCCATAGCTGGAGGCTGAGCACAAATACGGAAGGAGAAGTACCGATGGAGTCTCTGTTCTGAAGAGCAACAGCTTTAGAAATAACTTGGGAGTTACAGTGAGCAGTCACTCGCTGTGTGTGATGCTGAGGCTCGGAGGGCTAACTGGATCTTAAAAATAAATAAAGTGTTGGATTTGGAGTAAGGCTATCGTTTTATCTCTGTATATAGCAGTGGTGGAGCCTGTGATGGGTAAGGAAGGAAATCGGTGAGGGTTCCCAGGGGCTTAAAAACCTGCTTCAAACCAAAACAAACCTATTTTAAACTGAAACGCCAAAGAAGTTGTCTCCCAAAGAATTCCGTTTACCTCACGGAAAGGGAAGGAGGGGCCCGATGTGCTTGCCAGGAGTGTCTGCCCTCAAGGCAGACACCATCGCCCCGCTGCGGCCCTGTGTGCCAGCTTTGCCCGTGGCATCGGCGTGGGGAATGTTACAGCAGGAGGCAGAATGCCTATTGGAACATCAAAATTGAGGACCATTTTCTCCTTTCAGTCAGAGCCAAGTATCTTGCTTCTGTTTTTTTTCCCAGAGAGTGGGCCCTTTTTTTTTTTGGATTTCAACAGACTGCTATGCCCTGTTACAACAAAACTGGGTGTGTGTTTAAAAATGAGTCAGCTCCTTTGAGATAACAGCGCCTTGGCTGGCCTCTTGCTGCTGAATTTGAATTACCCACTCCTAACAGAACATGCAGCCAACAGTTAACTTCGTCCCATCGACAGCGTTATGATTCGGTGTTAGGAAATGACAGAAATTGTTAGAGTTTCACAGCAGGTAGGGCTGTCCCTGCATTTTCTGCTCTTGAAGCTCTTCACTCRCAGCTTTTTGGCTTCTTGCCCTCGCTGGTCTCCAGATGGAGTGGAAGGCAGAGGAACCTTCTGGCCACTTGCAGGTTGGCACAACTGCGTTGGTGGCAGGGGCTTCCTGCCCACCTTACTACAGCAGCGGTAAAAAGCATCGCATGCAAAAGCTTAAAGTCTTACGTTCTGTCTTTCGTCATTCTTTAAGTCTCATTTAAAAGGCRCTTAATAGATCTTCAAGTCACTTAATGACAAAGCAACAAAGCTTTGCAGGAAGGAGAAAAGAATCTTAAATGGCTGAAGGAACATTTTTAGGTTGAGAAGTCTTATGCTCCGTTTTTTGGCATTTCAGGAAAAAATCTTGGATCTGGTGGGCGGGATACCTGGAAACCTGAGGTGTGGGGGTGCGATAGGGACAGGAAGGGAAAAGGTTCTTCACAGCCACTTAACAGAGCCCAGCTTCAAATATCTGAACTTATCTTAAGGCTTAAGAAGTCAATGACAACTATCAACAGCCTGAAAGAGTGAAGGGGAGAGGGCGCTCTGGAGAAAGCCGCACCAGCACCTGCCCGGTCCCTAGGAAGGAGGGAAATGGGACACTCTGGTATGTGGAAGAAGGGGGAGAGCAGCAGAACAGACCCTGCGGCGCTGCCAGAGGCACTGCCCGTTTGCCCGAACGCCCCGAGTGAGTGCTGTGCTCAGCAGCCCACCCGCTCCCCCAGCGCCTCGGCCTGGCCCRTCGCTCTGGCCCACCAGAGGACAGAGCGAGGCAGGGACTAGCAAGGCCGAGAGGCTTCYAGCTGCCCCGCGGGGCTGCTGCTGGCACTGCAGTGGGCTAATACCCGCATTGTTCATTTTCCTGCTGGCGTAGCTATCTTTTTCCCCCTGGAATAGCCTCAATGTGTTTCTTCTGGCGTGGCTGTGTCTGTACTGGGAGCGCTGCCTCAATTTCCTGCTAGCACGGCTGAGGCTTCGGCCCCTGGCGCTGGCACAGGCAGGGGCGCTGAGGGCCTCCTGCCTGGGGCARGCTGATATCCCTGCTTGGCACGAGCCCTTTTTTGGTGGCGTGGCTGACGCCAGGACAAAAGCAGGGGCTACAACCCACTCCCCACAGCACAGGGAACCGCAAGCTAGGCAGAAGGTGATGAAGCAGAGAAATTGTCCCTGCAGGAGAACTGCCCCTCATTGAGTGTCCTGAGTTTGGCTGGATCTGGACGAAGGAAGTGCCACGTTGAGCCAGATTTTCAAATGTGGTGTACTGAGTTCCTGTTACCCACAACTCTCAATACCCTGAGCATATTGTAACATCCGGCACTAATTAGAGAAGTAGATTTGACTGAAAGATGAATGTCCCAAATCGAGCTACTTCTGCTGCAAAAGAGTCACTGAAGGCTTCCTGTTTTCCCACAGGAGTGCAGTGGAAGTAAAGAAACAGTCAGTCGTGGGGGTTGTGTAATCTTCGTTTTAAAGCTTGATTACTCAGCCCTAGAAGGGAGCAGGGTGGAGCAGGCTGTAGATTTTACCACAATTGTGTCCAGCCCAGCAGCGTTCAGCCCATCAGGGGCCTTGAATTCACTTCAGAGGCAGAGGGCAAATAAATGAGGTGAGAAGCTGTGGCTGTGAACACAGAGCAACAGWCAAAAGCAGCGCACAACTGATAAGACTTGAAAGTGTTGAGCTTTCCTTCCAAAASGCTGGGTTTCTGCTTTGCTTTTCGTTTCCTCAATGTTGTCACCAGGGAGCTCGGGTCAGGGCTCAGGTGTGGAAGGAGCAACTCACAATCAAAACGAGCAGCAACTTCTTGCAAAACAACACAGCCGCATAGATGGTTTTCCAGTGAAATAGGTACTGGCAGCGACAAGGTCAGAGGCTGTCTGAGAACCCACAGAACCTGAATGATGAGGCAAGAAGACAGTGGGTGAAATCAGGGTGAGCTCGGTTCCGGGAAGGCGACAGGCTGAGACGCAGGTGTTGACGCTCAGGGGCTTGTAAAATCTCCATGATCAAGTATCACTCAGGGCCAGGTGGGACACAACCATTAGGAAAAGAATCAGAAGATGTCTGAACAGTGGCTCAGCCACCCTTTGAGTGTTGCAAACAGTAGTTATGCCTGGAAGCCACAATCCAAGGTAACACACAGCTCCCACATAAGAGCTGCTGAAATGGTATTTTTCAGCCTGGGAAAGAAAGAACCTGCTCTACGAACATTGGATGGAGGCAATGGGCTCTCTTGTACCCAGAGGAACGAGGAGAGGAAGCAAATGGAACTTGCACAAACTGGGTTCAAAATAAACAAGCTTGATTCTTTGCCTCATTCAGCCTGTTACGAGGTGTTGGGGGTGCTCTAGGATTAGACAGGCTTGGTGGGGGACTGGACAAGCATGAGGAGACCTGCTTTAGGCTGCCACCAATCAAAAACACAGCCAACAACAGGAGATAACAGAGTGGGAAAGGCGTAGAGCTGGATCAGCTACCAGCCATGGTACTTGGGGTCACTGTCTCCACGAGGCATCCAGTGACAGAGGCCAAAGAGTTGGGTGGACCTTGGTCAGCATCAGGAAGGTTCTACTTCCCCAAGCAATTCRCCAGCATGGCCACAACAGCATGACACAGACTCCAACCCACCCCTTTGCCTCCCTCATCACTTATCAATCTAGTGTTGGTGCCATCCAGGCCTCTCTCTGCTCTCCAGAGAGAGAGGCTGGCAGCTAACCCACGCCTTGGGCCTGGGCCAGCATTATCTTTCCTAGGCAGGCAAGCCTCAAGCGAGGCCCAGCACAGAGGCTGCCAAAGGTATTTTGGCTCTCCACTGCTTTCATGTGGCAAGGAGCACTGAGCCTCGGGCACAGGATCAGGATGTTTGCAAGCAGCACGTGCCCCTCGAGCTGCTTTTCCCTTTGCGTTGGGATTTCAGGGGGGTTCCCGCCCCACTCGCGCRGCTCCAGGCCTGTGAGTGCTCTCAYGAGCCGCTGGAGGCTCATGGGGGCTGCACCCTGCCCGCCTACCCCAGACCRAGCAAGCAGGTGCCGCACAGAAAGCACACAAGGTTTTTATTATTATTATTCGGAGACTCAGAGATGCTTTCCCTGAAGTAGCTTCCAAACATTCACATGCAACTTTTAAAACATCAGGTGCACTTCTAAGATTTGGAAGGCACACCCTCACAAACAAAACTTGCAAGGATGTTGGAATTCTACCACCAGATCGAGCACCTTTCCCCTCCCTTCARAAAGCAGACGCAAGCCTGGAAAACCAAGCGGGAAGCAGCGATTCCTCTTGCGCGTTCAGCCGTGGGCCAGTGGGGTGGTGCGGCGGAAAAGCCTTGGAGGGCTTGCCAAAGTGTTGGCCTAACCAAGGGCTTCCTTGGGGACCTTCTGAAGGAGGAACTCGATGTCATCCTGGATCTTGATGGTTTCGAAATGCCTGCTGTAGCGCTTGAAGGGGACGCCATCGGGGCCGATGAGGAACTTCTCGAAGTTCCAGGAGATGTCGTTCCTGCACACGGGTGACCAGATGATGTACTGTGGGTTGGTCATCAGCGAGGTGGGGTCATCGTGCGGGAAGGGCAGCGCCTCCTTGAGGAAGGTGAAGAGCGGGTGGGCGTCCTTGCCGTTCACGTCGCACTTCTCAAACAGCGTGAAGTTGGGCTTGTAGCCGTTGCCGGGGCGGACGTGCTCCAGTGAGCGGAGGATCTCCTCGTTTGTGGCATTCTCCTGGGAGAGGAGAACAAAGAAACAAGTCGCACACACAAAACAAACCAAAACAACAGGGCAACAAAAGAGACAAGGAGGAGGAAGATGAAGCGTGAGGCTCTAGGCGGGACCGCGCGCCCCAGCAGCTCCTGGGTGGGAAGGGCCGCGCTGGGGCCCTCCCGCTCCCCCGCAYGGCTCTGCGCGGAGCGGGGCTGCGCTCCAGAGCTGCCCGAGGGGTTCGGGGCGAGCTGGCTCCCCGCCGGCGCGCGGTACCTGGTGCCCGAACTGGTTGCAGGGGAAGCCGAGCACCACGAGCCCGCGGGGGCCGTAGCGCCGCTGCAGCTCGTTGAACTGCGTGAAGTCGCGGGCCGTGGTGCCTCAGAGCGTCGCCACGTTGGACACGAGCAGCACCCGGCCGAGCAGCGAGCCGAGCGCCAGCGGCTCCGCCGCACCCAGCGGCCGCGCGCGCATGGC